CAGCCTGTTTCCACTGGGAACTTTTCTGACAGCAATCAAGATACAACTACCCACATCTGTTCTTGCCCTGCCTCCCATACCTGAAGCTACTGCTTCTTTGTAGCTTGTCTTTGTGGAATAGAGCTATGAGAAATCTGTATTTCAGTTCTCTCATCACAAGAGCTTAACTATGAGACAGCTAAAATAGGCACCAGCATTTTATAGCAAGTGGGTACACATCTTCTAGATTCTCAAAACCTGAAGAGCTTTTGACACTTATTTTCCGTTTTGCAGTGAAATCTTGTCTGGCTGGAAGGAAAAAAATCCAAGTTCAACAACCAATTACGCACCAAAACTGTTACTGCTGACTCAACTCAGCATGAAATGCAATACAGACAGGCTTTTCTTTTCATGAAAGAAATCTTCTCGTAGCTCCCTCCACTTTGAAAGAAACAATTTTTAATCTTACATTTTCACATTTGGATATTCTGCTGCTCACCCTGTGGCGATAGCTCACTGCATGAGAGAGGAGCTGTTGATATCCCCGGCTTAGAGCTATACTGATGCTCTGCCCTAATTTCGAACACAGTTAGACAGCACTGACATAAAGGCATCAGCTTGAAGTTCAGTCACAAAGTGGGCTCAGATTTGGTGTGTAAAGCCTGAATCAGACATATATTGCAACAGGACAAGCCACAGCTTGTTGAGACACTGATCCACATCTCATTGATACTCTCCACTGACTGGCACTTGCTGGCCCAGCCCTTAAATCTTATATAACCATCCCATCCTGCAGCAAACACTGAAGAGAATGTTCTAGATGCTTTTGAAGGTTACACTGCTGAGATAGTATACTAATATTTTTGTTAATAAGTTTCACTCTAGCCTTCCTGAATATAATCTGTAACTTCGATTATGCCTACTAGCTTACCATTGGAAACTAGAAGAGGAGAAAAAGTTGAAAGGATGGAATTCTAAACACCTCACGTACCCATCAGCCCTCCTGCCCCACACTTACCCTGCCTTAATGCACCTCCTGGCTGCAGTGCAGCCACTAACATAACTTACTAAACCACAGCAGTTTAAGAGCAACGGGAATTTTAGCTCTTTTTCCCGTTTTTACAAAGGACTAAGATTCACAGCCACTGAGTTCCTTAAAAATCCTACTGAAGAAAGGCAGGAGAGGGAAAGAAATCTGTTTAGCAAGTATCTTTGAAGACAAACGGCCACAAAAAAGTGAATTTATGAAGCAAAAGGAGGGTGTTTCAAGGTAAAGGCTCACACACAAGCAGGAAGAGCATGCCACTAAATGCTCCATTAGAAAGTAAAGATGCTGAAAATAACCTGAGGTGGTCCTTGAGAAAACAAAACTATTTGAAAAGATAAACTAGTCATATGCAATCAAAAGAAACACAGTTGGAAAATATACTGAATTTAAGAGTAAGAAAAGTATTTCTACCTGGAAAGTAATAATTAAGCTTTTAAAGCTGAACTATGTCCTGTACTAAGTACTGCCTTTGAAATACAAATGTTTACATGTATTTGCTTGTTCTAAAAGCACACAGACCTCAGTGAGTATTGACTTTTAAACCTAGCTCCCATATCCAATGCAAGAAGACACCAACCAAATTGTTAAACAGCTGTAACTGCCTGTAAGACAGGTCAGCTTCTGCCACTCCCACAAGCTGCTCCTGAAGCAGTGCCCTGTGTGGGCTCCTACCATGAGCAGTCTATACTGCAATCAGCACTGCCCAAAACCAGCATAAGCAGCAATACAAGTCACCTTGCTTCAACAGGCCTTCATCTGGTGCAACTGCAACACAGCTGGGAGCAAAGCTTTCAGAAGAAAAACACTCATTAGGATGACAAAATTTAGGATTATTATAATGCTGAAACTTTCCACGGCCTCTGCAGTGCGTAACTTGTCATTACTTGAGGGAACATTTAGTCTTCACAGAGGCTTACTAACATTGCTACTGCTCAGCACACAGGCAAAGGGTCATCTTTATTAAGCAGGATTTTAAAACAGATTAAATGCCTTGTCACAAAGCAGAAAGAGTACACAGAAAAATTCTACTGAAAACCTTGTGAACAATTTCCAGATATTCTGCTTAGTTGTTCATACACCTTAACTCAGTGTAGGCCTGCCAGGTACAGATTTTCTTGCCCCACTTCGGATTTACTCACATCCAGAAAAAAGAAAACATCCACAAACATTTTCAGGGAAACATTCTGAAGGGTGAGTTGGCTCTGAAACTCTTGACATTTTCACCCACTATCAGGCCACAAGGGTAACAATTCTAGCCCACCTTTGGTTTCCTCAGGTATAGCACAATAAGAAAGCTTAAATGCCCATTCTGAAGATTTCAAATTTACTGAGCAATGGTATTTTAAAGCTTCTTTGCCTTTTTAGCATTGGCTTGGACATCAGATTTCTTGTGCATTTGTTAGGAAGTGCAAAAAGTTGTAAGGTTGCTCTTCCAAAGCACCCATCCGCCTTACATGACAGTCCCTCTATTCTTCCAGCAGCTGCAATCAAAAGGGTCCCTCTGTAATACTGCAAGAGTTACCTCTTCTTTTCTGCAGTGCTGTGACAGCTAGGGGCCCATTTCTTTGATGTCCAGTATTTCATGTATCTGAAAATAATTTACCAATAATTTTCTCTTTACAGAAGTACTTCAGGCCTGTCAGAAAGAGACTACTGACACAACTTTACAGAGAACTCAAGCTCCTCATACAGCTGCAGGATGACATTTCCAAACACCACCCAAGTCACATGCTCTCAAAATAACCCTCAGATTTGTTCAGCCTATTGGAGGGAATTCTCTATTTTCCGTTCTTTACCAACTCATTCAAGTCTGGATCTGGTAAATTTGTCCTTGTTTTCTAGTAGATGTTACAAGTCGCTTTAATTCTGGCACATCAGCTTTAGTGATCTTTAATAAAGAGGCATGAGCTCTATTGATTCAGGAAGACAGCATTTCAATGGTTTCTATTTAACATTTTCAATGAAACCACAAGGAGTAGAAATGCAACTTTAAAAGGCTACATTTTTCTGTTGAGGCCACTCTGCTAGAGATGATACACATCCATAGCAGATATACACTGAACTTCAAGACAGTCTCTTTCACTAATTCAAGAAACTGTTGATTTTGAAGTAGTGGCATGCAATTCTTAAACAATGAGATAATGATCTGCATACAGATTAAAGTTTGATGGAAGAATGGAAAGCAAACTCAAAACAGAATGGACCAGAAGATGGGGGTGCAACATGAAGCAAGATAGTGAAGAGTCCCAGTTTCCAGACCATATAATTGGCTGCCTGTGAAAAAACACCTTCCACAACAGAACTTACAGAGCGCAGGGGCGTGGGAGTAGGGGAAGAAACAGGACTAAAGGAACTCACACAATCAAAACATAACCATGTGTCAATTTTTATCAGTACTGTCACCAGTGTCTACACCATCTCAAATAAAAAATTGGGTACATTGGTTCTATCTTTAGGGTCTATCTGGAAGACTGAAGGTACTCATGCTTCCATACTTCTGTGAAATATTTTTACATCTGTACTGTAAAAAATAATAATTATTTCCAGCTTCACTTTTAATCAGGGAAGTTGCAGGAGCACCAAAGAAATGCAATGGTGCAGTTATAACATAAAAAGGACTCTGTGAAAATTCTCTCAATTCATTGTGGCATCATCAGATGTTGTTGATTATACCGTTTAAAGCTCCAATGTATCACCAGACTTATTGCAACAATGACTGAACAAGGAAGAGCTGAAATTTGCTATTCTGTTTAACTTACACTGCCTTATATTTAAGCTTCTTCTTTAAAAGACAATCATGCTAGATTTGTTATGGAAATGGGTACAGTTTAACTTCCATGATTCTCTATGTGCCTAGACAAGCCACTTTTTTTAAGATGTGACTTCTGGCACTGTGCCATAGACACCAAGTCTAAGTAAATCCTTATTACACAGATCACTGACCTGAATCTACTGATACTCTTACAATCTGCCCATCAATCCAGCTGTCAGGTAAACTTATTACATCCCATACATGAAATATACACAATTTTAAATCGAGGAAAAAGTTACACCACTTTCAAAATGGCCATTTAAAAACTTCTACCATTACCTTTCCCCCAAAACAATGAAAAACTATTTCTGCTTCTCTGAGACTTGATACCAAAACTATGTTCCTTCAAGGTAGGAGGAAAAAAGCTATATACAAAAGGCAAGTTAACTAGTTGACTCCTACTTCTTAAACACATTAAAATAATTTATTTGTGCAATGGTTTGTTTTTTATAAACTGTTTCAAGTTTCACTGTGTTGCAATTCAGTTTTCAAATGTAATTTTAAGCCAGATTTAAACAACTGTAAGCCTTATATGACAACCTTATGAACACATTACCTGTAACATAATAATTATTATAATCAAAACATTCTCACAATGGTATTGCTAAATAAAAATCACCACATTGATTTGTATGCAGTTATGACACCACTAGGTTTGCCACTTGTCAGAATTTAAAATGTTTAAATATTCCCTTTATGAACTTGAGCCTCAGAAAATTTGTATATATTTGAAAAGTCATGATTAAAAAAGCATGGGTTTTGATTGTGGATTTCTTTAAATTTTAAATCAGATGACAAAACTTTATTACCAGAACCGCATTTAGTTTGATAATCCATAGCAACATCAGAATGTAGCAGTACACGTTATTTGTTTCTTTTATTAATGGAAAGGCAGAAACCAAATTTGGTTGTGTGGTGGGGGGAGTTATTTTGTTTTAAATGTTCTCCTTTTTTCAGGAAGAGGCTTCTTTCAGCAGCTCAAAAAGCCTGTAGACAAGGACTAAACATGCAGCTTCCTGGGTCTAATCACCTCAAAAGTAAAATAAAACAAAGCCCAGCCTAATGAGATGGCAAGCCCAGAAGTCACAAGTGTTAGCAGGGAGTTACTACAGCACCAAAACAATGGAAATGATGGATTTACACATAATTTATTATTCCTACCTTCCAAATACTTAGAGACTTTCTCCATTTGAACTGCCATATGGTAAAGCAAATGAACAGAAAGATGCAACATTTAGCTTTAAAATCATTTACAGAAAACAAGCCCCCAAAAACACTGAGTTATGATTATTAGTAGTACAAAGGAAGTTATTTGTCCGAACCTGAGGTTAGGTCAGATCCTCTGTTCTTTTTATCTTCTACTATTTCATAGAATGGGCCTATTACTTGAAGTAATTCTTCAACTTTTTCCGTCATTGGCATACTCTCAAGAATCTGCACAAATCCAAAATATGAAGCATCTTATGAAAAAGCATTTCAATGACTCATTGATTTCAACTGATTCTAGAAACTGCTGGTCATTGTAAAGCTCAGCAACGTTTCACTAAGTCATTAAACATGTTATTCTGATTTTTTTACCTTTTTTTTAATTAGAGGAAAACAACATAAAAGTAAATTACTAGACAAGAATCTTCTAGTTGTATTAACTTCTTTGAGGTGAAGAAGAGATGACAGAGCAAATGCAATTGCCAACACTAAAAGACAGCCTTGGCACAGTATTTATTAGTAGTAATGGGAATCCATTACTTCAGCAATTTCAAACTAAACCATCTCAAAGTTCAACAGGCTGCTGTTATCTGATATAATTATTTTATAAACAAGTCTTTCCACAGAGAAAATAAAACTTAAAGACTTGTTTTGTCTTAGAGCATTCTTCATATTGTCAAACCCGGACATCTTCAGTGGAATGCAAGGAGCAGATCAAAAGTAGGCTACTGGGTCCACCTAAACCCAAACAAAAATGGACACAATACAGCAAAACTGGGACAGGACAAAGAAACACTTAGAGGAAGAACAAACTAAAACCAAGTTCTGCTCTTGAAGTAATTTGGAGCATTTCTTCATTTTAAGTTAATAAAAAATAATACCTTTGATCATCTGATAGGAATGTAAAATCTTAAATCTAAAATAGATTAAACAGAAGAGATTCAATAATTGAATACTATTTTAAAAGCACACAATATTTTTGTCTAGTTTAAGTCCTTTCAACCAAGCTTTTTGTCAATAGCTTTGTTCATCTTTTACCCTCTACTTTTTTAGTTATTATATTTTAAAAGCTTCAATAGCTATAGGAAAAAAACTCATGTTGAAGCAAACTAACAGCTACGGGGCACCTCCTCCTCCAAAGGAGCACCAAGAAAGCAACAGATGAAGGTACAAGTTGCAACAGAACATGCTGCTCGAAAGCACCAAGCACACCACTAAGCAGCAGGAGCAAAAGCTATGGCATTATTCCACAAAGCAGGAGCACCAGGCAGGCAATCATGTAACAAGTCATCACTTGCAAACCAATCAAGAATACCAAGAGACAACAGTCCTACCAAACTGCTGTTTCATTGCCACTTCTCTGATCTATTCAGTGTATATAATTCATTTCGTGTTTGTTAGAGAGAAATACTCCAATACAGAGCTGGATATGAAGCAGAGATTGAACAGCTTTGTGATTACTTTTTTTTTACTTCAATAACATTGAGAGAAACCAGAAGCCTATTCTAGAATAAAAGACTTGTGTTTGTTATGTGTTTACTTCTAGAGCCAGCTCTCTAAACTCTTTCACACATGCATTTCTACAATGTCTGCGCATAACTGCTCTCCATCTATTCTAAACAGACCTCAATATCCTCTGTGCTACTTGGAGCAGTTCTTAGAATCTTTTCTAACTGATAGCTTTTATGTGAGTATGAAAAGAGCAAGTACTTTCACAAACAAAACCAAATGCTTGCTTATATAGCCACTAGGCATAATAAGCAATCTCAAAATTTGAAAGCGCAAAATAAGTTTTTATGTATCCTGAATTACTGTTTTCTTTCTATATCAGACAACTCATATATAAAGACTCAAGTTTTGAATTAGAAGTACCATATAGTTAATAATTCTTCATGCTAGGATATCACTTATTTCTAATATATAACAAAACAATATATGTGAAGTGTAAATAAGTTAGTTTCAGCAGTATTGCAAAATAAAATTTCAGAAATGCTACTTGAAACATAAATTAACCTTGAATCTGAGCTCAGGTGCATTTTGTTTACTTTAGCTAGAAATAAGACATTTGGTCATCTCTCACCAGCACTGCAAAACCTCATCCAGACACATTCCTGAACATCTGCAATTTTCAAGGCTACCACATTAAGTGAGGGGGGGGGAAAAAAAACAACAAACAAGTTTAGAATAAAAGCCTCTTGTGACAGGGCCATCTGATGTATGTATAGCCCAAACACAATGTTCTAATGCTAGGGACATGCCCTGGGGGCTGGGGGGAATATGGCAGTCTTATACACCCTTAAACACAGTCCTGTGACACCAGTGTACAAGTGGTTTTTTGCCCCCCTTAGACATGGATACCTATGCTGCAACAGCAGACTGCCCACAGTAAGACCACAAGGATTAGTGCAGCATGTGCTGATAGAACAACCCAGTGGATCCATTTGAAATGCACTTCCACTGACATTTCAAGTAGAATCAATTGGGTTGGAAAAGCTGAAGCTAGTATTTCAAATGTGAGAGCTGAAACAGCATCAAAGCAGGGTAAACAGACTCCCCAGTTTCAAAGCTGAGCAAGGCAAGAAGTCATTTGCTCTCCAATCCCTACATGTAAATCATAGAGGCAGAATATTTGTGCTTCATTAGGGCCAAGGAAGCAGATCTCCTCAGAGAAGGCTCACTAGAGGTTTTTTCAGAACAAACATTGCAGTTTCACTTAGTTTTAGAGTCCTGACCAAAGCAGTTACTATGCTGAAAAAAAAAAATAGGTAGTCTACTGAAGTATTACCACATTTTGAATCCAAGATCTGATATGAAGCACTAAACCTTGTGGCACACATTCAAAAAGTATTATTAAAATTTAGTAAGATCTTTTATCAAACAAACAGCATTTGGCCTTCTGTGTTTTCTGGAGTTGCTTATTTTTCATTTTAAGGCAGATACAGTAATACCAGCAGGAACTAAATTACCAAAATTACGGACAGGAAAAAGATCAGTAAATCAGACTCCAGCTCCTTGCCTAGTAAAGGTTTTTGTTGTATCAACCATTAAACAGGTTAAGAGTTTGAGGCAGACATAGTGGCACTGGAAAAAAGCAACTGTATTCAGAGTAGAACTTAGATTTTCCCCCCTTGATGCTCATGTCATTATAATAATAGATTACAATTGCACTTTTATCCAGATTGACAGCAAATAATCTTTAAATGGGAAAAGCCACCTAGAAAAGCTTCAGTGAATAGACTGCAGTGAAAATGGTTAGTTAATAAGACAAGAAACTTAAACTCTGTTTGCTTCAGTTAATGCTGCAATTCCTGCTTAATATAGTAACTATGACTGTTTACAGGTTACACCTCTATTCCAAAACAGAGCACATTACTCAATGCCGACTGTTTGACTGCAACTACAATATACAGGGAATATTTTCATGACAAGTACAGAAAATTCAGGTTCATGAATTCTTTCCATAAAATCAAAGATAATTAAGTTTATATATTTGATTATAATCATGCCTCCAGTCGTGATAGTGAGACTTTTGCTCCTGAAGACCTTCTGGAGAGTTGTTTTAATGTCTTTTTCAGGATAAGGATCTCCCAACTCTAAGAACTGAGGCAGTTTGCAGTACAGCTTTTCTTCTGCTGTACTTTAGGTTTCACTGTTTTCCCCACTGCCTCCTTAACCATAATTTACATAATTCACTTTCTTCACATCTGTCATTTAAGTTCCATATCAGCTAGAGCTCTCCTGTTTCTCTGAAAACAACACAAATTTTGTAGCTTTAGAATGAACTACATAATTTTCTTCTCCCTATGGGCCAAACAGCACTGTACTGAAATGAACAGTTCACACAGGGGATAACTCATTTGAAGCTTTGACAACAGTAGTCAGCAAGAACCACTTCACATTCCTTAATTTATTTCTGGAACATTTTAGGAGATCCCTTCTACTCATCAGTAAACTTACCTTTTTCATTTCTTCAACATAGGCTATCATGGCTTCTTCTTTGGACATGTTTCCCAAGGCACTCCAAGCATCCCTAGGAAAGAAAGTCACATACACCTTCAGTATCTTCAGGATGTACTAGATTTTTTTCAACCTGGCCTTAAGTAGGTCAGTTATGTAATGCCCAAAGTTTCTCTGATACAAATAAAATGCAAGAACAATTCAGAATTTTTTTTAAAGTACAAATATATAAGTTGCTAGGATAGTCACACAGTGGTACATCAATAAAGAAACAAACTGAACAGATTGGGGACCAAAAGAGTTCCTCAATGACTAGCTATGATCTTGTACACAGAAAGTTATCAAGCCCAGATATGAGACACACACATTTCCCTTTTGACTGAGTCTAAGACTCTGCTGTATAAAAATAACAGGCACAGACACTTCAGCCAGCATTTATAAACAGCTGTTACCAAGTTAGAACAGGCTACGGGAAAAATCTTTCCTTTCTGAGTTTAGCAATTAGGGAAAGACACATCAGCCTAGGAGGCAAAGAGTGTAACTATCACCTTCAGTTACCACAGCAGCTACTTATGACCTAAATAAAATCTTTCCCTCTCCAACTCTGCAAGACAGAAAACTGCAACCAAATTTATCAGTATTGCACAAGGAATCTGTCAGAACACAGACTGCAATAAAACATTTCCTCAGTCTTGCATGTGATTTGACATCCCAGAGTAGTTGTCCCACTTACAGAAAAACACCAAGGTTGGTGGCTTACATTCCAGCTGCAACTAGCCATGTGGGTGGAAGCTTACTACCCTAGTCCTCTGCAAAGATATCCCTGCACCCTAACCTGGGGAGCCCGAGGAGCAAGGAAGGAACAAAAAAACCAAAAAAAAGGTCAGAGGAATCATTTCACAGATCCCAAGTTCACCATGACCATAAAGACAGCAATAAGACTTGTTCTTCAGGACAAATCATCATTAAAATATAATAAACAAAACATTCACACTGGCTTTTCAAAAGAGAACTTAACAATTTGGTGAATCAGAAGTCTTCCCAGGACAAGGAGAATACAGATAGTGGGAAGCCCTGCCACTGAGCGGACAAACCAGAAAGACACATAAATGTAACCTCTCCCCAAGAGCTTGAAGCTGTATCAGTGGCTACCAATGAGCACTTATTTACTTCAGGCTCACATCATACATGAAAACTCAAGAAGGAATAACTCCAGACACTCATCCACATCACTCATTCTGCAGAGCACCTACAATTTCATTTTACACCATGAGATAAATGCTGCTGAGATACCATGGTGGTGGTTGCCCGAGAAAAACCTGTCCATCTGCAGAACCCAAGCGATTGTTTCCACCTGCAACTCCGAGAAGTTATAAATTATCTGAGCTAGAAAGTTGGAATACAACAGAAAACTAATTCAAGCATCACATGTTGTAAACGTTCTTTCTTTTAAGAAAGAAACTAACTAAACTCTTCCTCCAGGTGCCACTCATCTAAACACCTCCACTCCATGCATTAAAAAACCCAAAACAACAACTCATGAAAAGTTACCATTTATATCTACCAATGGGATCCCAAAATCCAGGTCGTGGAATGTTACAGGGTCCTTGGGTTGCTTGCTTATAAAAGCTATAGAACTTGAGCATCATTTCATTCGTTGGCTGGAATGAACCTAGTGAAAGCATTTTAAAACACAATTAAATTGCCATCAAGAATATTAACAAGTATTTTACAAGCTTAGTATTTCTGTGAGGAAACAGCCTGCAGTTTGTTACAGCCTGATTCACAGCAGTACAATTTAAGTCAACACAGAACATCTTCACCTCATCTACCATGAACCAGCACCACTGAAAATATTTACTTCACAAAGAGGGAGTTTCAGACTGAGTTTAAGGGACTATAACCTTTACTACTCCCTAGGTCAGACTCCACGATTAGAATAAAAAAATTAGATAATAAGTAACTTAAAGTAGTGTCCTTTCACTCAGTTTAAAAGGACAGTTTGCCATTACAAACTTATTGAGAAACTCCAGAACTTAAAATAAAAAATAGTAAAAAAAATAACCAAACCAAACACAATGAACCCAAAACACACCCTTCTGCAGCGTTTTTGTTTACTTTGGATATTTGACAGCACTTTCAGTAACAGTTTCCCATACCTCCTGACTTTGTTTTCTTTTCTTGTTTTCTTTTCTTCCTCTGCGAGCAAACTTTTTTAGAGGTAGAAAATGTAAATATAAAACTCTAACAGCTGGCAGGGAAAATTCTTAACCAATCCATCAAATACTTTGAGGTTCTATTCTAATCACTAGGAGAAGTTTACAGTGGCCTTTATCTTAGTACTTAAAAAAAAAATCCAGTTTTACTTACACCATAATGATGTATGCAATAACCAACTTTTTTTTTCTAATTATTATCACTACTCATAAGAAAGATATGTTATGGGTTGGGGGGGGTTGGTGTTGGTTTTGTTTGTTTGTTTGGGGTTTGTGTTTTTGCTTGTTTGTTTTTGGTTTTGTTTTTTTTTTTGCTTTTCCGTTCTGTTAACTCTTTCAGCAGAGGGAACTCACGGTAACTGCTTCGTCAAACAAGCTTCAGGATTTCGGGAGGGCTGAAATCGCGGAGAGCTGACAGACATCGTCGTCCATGCACTCAGCTGAGGAGCTCGGAAGCCCGAGCCGGCGTGTCCCCGGCAGAGGCGGAGCACGGCACTAACGCCGAGGTTTCCAGCGGTTCCCCAGTCGGCGGCTCTGGCACCGCCCAGCCCGGCGCCCCGCAGGCCGCGGGCACAGCCAGGGCCTCGCTCGCCGCCCCCCGGGCCCTGCCCGATCCCGGTGCCCGCCCGGCCCCGATGGCGCCGCTGTCGCCGGGCCCCCCCCGCCGCACTCACCATTTTTGGGCAGGCTCTGGATCACCTTCACGGCCGCCTCGAACCTGGTGGCGTGCACGGAGCTGGTCTCCGCCATGGCCCCGGCCCCCCGCCGCCTCCTGCTCGGCTGCCGGGCCGCGTCCAGCGGGGCGGGCTCAGCTCAGCTCCTTCGCCGCAGCCGCCTGCACGGGAGCGGTGCCGGGAGCCGCCAGGTCGTGGCCACCCGGCCCTGGCTCCGATCCCCGCCCCCTCCCCTCCGGCGGGGCCGGCACAGCCCGCCCAGCACCTCGGACCGGCCTCACCTCGCCCCGCACCCCCGTCCGGCACAACCCGCCCTACGCCCGCCCCGACCTCAGGCGCCCATGTTATGTCTCCCACAGCGGCTCCCTGCCCTGCCCTCTTCTCGCACCGCCCCGGGGCCGCGGAGGTACGCCGGGAAACGTAGTTTCTTTGTCTCTACCTCTTCTTCCTCTTCCTCCCCGTTCTCCCTTGTGCTTCTGTAGCCACAAGACATGAGAATTTCAATTCATGCCATATCCCAGCCGTTTTACGGACCTCAGTTATCCTCGGGAGATCCACTGCCCACCACCCTGTCAGTTTGCTATGCTGCTGCCTCCCCTCTTCACAGCCATCCTCATACCCACACCTATTCACACAATTCACCTAAATTACCGCTATTTTTTAAATCGTTTTAATGACTCCCATTTAAATTACAATTTTAGGCATGAGAGCTTAAAAGCCTAGAACCCAGGGAGCACCTATTTCCATGGTATCCAGAGAAGGGGGTGAATACCAGCTCAGTACCACCAGCTAGCTCGGCAGCTAAATAAATGAATGGCCTTATTCAAAAGTGCTGCCCATCCAGCACTCTGCAAAGTCAAACAAAAGTATGCTAAACCAACTGCTTTTGTAGCAAGTGGAATAATTTACCCAGTGAGCAACACGATGAATTAATAGCCCCATTGAATGGAATCGAGTACAAAATCTTGGCATTCAAGTCAGTTCATTTATCTAGTACACAATATATATTTTAAATTCCTCTGCAGGCATTTGTGTGCTCACAGGGTATGCCCTCTGGTGGGACAGAAAAGCTCCAGAGAGAGGGAATTAGAGCAGATCAGCCCTGGCTCTGCTGAGCTAGTACATTCCATAAGGTCAGCAGCCAGCTGGCCTGGGGAGAGCTTTGCTGGAGAGAAGCTGATGCTTCCATAGGTGTTCAAGTAGAATTCCCCACACTGGGCAAATGATGAACGCACGTTATGAGCACAGCTCAACTCATGAATGTTACAGAATCATTTATTTGCATTTTTTGATTCGAGTGCTAGATTTCTAAAGTTCTTGTGAGCTTCATACTAAGATCTATCATTTTTTTTATCCATGAAGGTAGGAATGACAGAAACCCAGATCAAAGGGAAGTGGGCTTTTTGAAGATAAATGGGTAACTGTATTCTTTGAGTAATACAAAGCTTAGGGGCCTTTTGTGAGCCTAGCTGATGTGTAAATTCTATTTACCTGAGATAATCTATAATGATGTTTGCCCTTTTACTTGATTTAAGAGAAATGCAGTCTGCATTTTTATAATGAATGTTCCCAGACTTTCACTGGAAGTAGGCTTTAAAAGAGATGCAAATGGGAACCTATTTAATGGCTGTGTGCAGAAACAGAAGCTGCCCTTTGAACTGAAGATGTGTGAGAGTATAAGATCTGCAGGTCCGGATTGAGGCACTTGAAGTAACCCAAAATAATCAGTACCATCATGCTCTGAGACAAGGATGAAATACTAAATGAGAGGCAAATTTTCACCACTGGTGAACATATTATGAGAACGTATCACAAATGACTAGTTGATTTTAATATGGCCAGTCTTCGCGAGCGAAGATTTGGGAAAGGTCATTAACCCTTCGAGCCTGCGCAGTGGATTTTTTAGGTGAGACCCAGTGTGCGCTGAACTGAGCCCACCCTTTAATCCTGAGGTTCATCTGCCGGGGCCGAGCAAGCTTGGACAGTGGCAGTGAGGTCCTCAGAACGTAGGTTTGTTTAGAGTGACCTTCTCTTAGATGGATGGCCTTACAAGGCTGACGAGCTCCATCTGCCCGGGGGGCCGGGAATCGACCCCGGGTCGCAGCGGTGAGAGTCCTGCACCCTAATCACTAGACCACCAGGGGCCCCAGTTGATTTTAATGCTCGTATATAATACTAATTTGTATTGTTATTAGATGTCCTTATGCATGTTTTGCATTCTCATTGCAGTGACTTCTATGAAGAGTTAACAATAACCAAATGTTGAGAACAGGTAATAAAGGAGACCTTCTCATCTCTTGCAGACAGCCAGGAGTGGATCTGCAGCTTTATCTCAAGGAGGACTCCATTCTTTGGGGAACAAAATATGACGTTTCACTATTGTCTGTTGAGTACCTATTGAGAATAACCATATGCTTGTAAAATCTAATTATAATCTATGTGTTAACTGGGCTGTGTTTCCATTGTTCCACAAGAGCAATCTCCAAAACAACCATATGACTTGCTCTTATTCTTTTTTGTGATCCAGCGTATAAGGAGCCAAACTTTGGGAACGGTGATACAAAGACCAGTGACGCCCATCAGCTGACATGTGAGAGAGGACAGACCATGAAACTCTGCTACCAGTGAGATTTGGCAGTGAGCGTGACGTGTGACATTTCATATGTCTGAGTGATTTGCTGTCCTCACACTTCCCTTCACTCTGTGTTTCACAAACTACTTATGGAGAGCCTGCAAATCACTGAAATGAGGCATTCCTGGCAGCATTGAGACAAAAACCTTGTATGGATTTGCTGTTGTAGTTGCTGAAGAAGTATACTTAGGGTATGTCTGAGGAAAAGGCATGATCCTGAGTGTAACCTTGGACCTATCCTTCACAGATGGATTAGGGATTGTTATTGAGTTCAGTGGTATTACAGCGCAGGATAGTTTATCAAAGTCTGATGTGTGGAGCTACTTTACAATCCTCATTTTGTGCTGTGTGTAAGCTGCCACAGTCCATGCAAATTGTTCTCATTTGTATCCCAGGTCTGCCTTAGTTTTCTAGCAGTTGCTTCCAGTACCGAGCTACTCCCCAGCCCAGCTTGAAGAGCACCTTCATTTTACTTGAGGGACAAAGGAGTCAGTTAAATTATGCAAGTGAAAAGCTGAAACTGGAACAAATTATGCCTAATGCTCCCTTAAGGGTCTAAAGCATGGCGATATATTTTACAGAATATTTTTAAACGGTTCTTAAGAAAGTGGACCATAGTCTCATATGCATTATGAGCAAGTTCTGTAAGCTACCAGATCCAAGAGCATGTAATTTTAGCAAAGCTTACTTTTTGAAGTATATAATCCAACGGGGAGGAAGAATGAATTATTTAAAACCTAATAGTCATAATTGTGAAGAACTAAATTAGCATTAAAATTTCTAAGTCAAATCTACATACTGATGAAGAATGAAAAGATGCTGCCTAAGAACGGAGGAACTTTTTATAAGGAGCAGCTTTCTAAATTGTTTACAGTAGAAAGGCTGATGTATCAAATAACATTTACTTAGAGAATTTTTTAATGAAATCATTAAGGATATTCGTGTCAAAACCAACAGCTCTGAAGAAAGAGAACTATTTGCCTACCATGAATATGGCAAAAACATCAGCTGAAATTTGCTCACTTATATAGGCCAATCCCTGTTCCTCAGGAAAAGCCCTTTGGGCAAAGGACGAGTTTGACACAAACAAGAATGCTTTTGGGGATGGAAGTTTTCTCGCGAGGTTCAGATACACCCCTTAATAACTCGACTAGACATACCAATTCATTTCACAGTTGGGGATTAAGTAATGGAATTATTTTTAACTATTTTAACCATTATTAATGGCAGCTTCTTTGCTTAAGGATTAGCCTCCTTGTTGTCAAAGGCATTAAAGGTAATAGATCCCATTTCAAATCTCTTTTGAGATATTCAGTTCGGGGTCTTTCAGTGATCAATATTTCAACCCGCGTTTTTGTTTTCCCCCATTTCTCACATATTTCACGAAAGTAGATGCAGTAACAATGTATAAGCCAAGATCCGTTTCATAAAATGCTCTTTGAAGAACAAAGTATGACCATACTTCCGAAGACATTCAGCACATTTGACTTTGCATTGAACCATACATCACTTATGAAGTCAAAACCCTTTACAGGTTTATATCTTTGTAGGTCTAAGGTATAATGCAGTGCCATACTGTGTCTTAAGCCCCTCTTTTTTTCTCCAAGCCTACTATTCATTTCTTTGATGAAATTTTTAATAAAGTTCAGTTTTCCTTACTGCCTCAAGGTATTATTCTTGTAGAGCCAGCAGATAGTTATAAGAGAGTTGTTCAGATTTTGCATATTGTAGAAAGAACATTTTAAAAATCCTGTTCCATTACAGAGCCATGAACTAAGCTTTGAAAAGTATGTAGTTTCATCATTCAGCAGCAATGACAAACTGTGTCTTATAATAAACAACACCAGCTCATAATAAATACTTATTCCTTTCCCTTCAGTAAAATATACAATATCTGGGGGTCAATTTGTGCTGTCATTTACAGTGGTATAAATTTGGAATTACTTGATCGATTTGGAAATATTTATGGTATTACACATTTTCATAATGCAAATGAGTAAGAATTTGACTCTGAAAAACCTGGCATATTATTTCTGTTTTGACATTTGTGCTTCTTGTCTTCACAGCTACTGTTGCTAAAGTTTTAGAAGCCTATCCTTGTGTAATTTGCCTCTTGGGAATAGCAAACAAAATACTGTGACTGTATCATATTAATGTGCTTATGCAATGGCATATTTATAGCCAGACAGCTCTTGTGACATTTTTTTTTTCAGTATCTGGAAGGGAAAAAAATGAAACACCCTTAGTTTATGCATGTTCTTTAAAAATTCTAACAAATGAATTTTATTATTCTTTCTAGCAAATCTCAAATGACTTTGTGAAAATGTATTCATCACACACGTTTACCAGTGTGCAAAGCCTGGGATATAACTGGCAACTCAACTGAAAACTCAGGCATTTTCAGGCCTATGTTTATCATTTTGGATATTTACCCAGGCAGAAAACATACCACTATGGTTTTGGTCAATGGGTTTCAACAACCTAATCTAACAGATTGGGATTGAATTACTGGAGTGAGTCCTCCAACAAGCTCTCAGAA